CATAGGTAGTCTCTCAGGTGTTAGATCCCTGAAAGAAAGAAGGAAAAAGAAAAAAAAAAAAAAACAGTTCTTCTCAGTAGTTGCCTTGATCTTGTGTAGATATTATGCACTCAGTCACCACTGCTGTATGTGTGTGTTGGGTCTGGCAAATGCTGTTTTGCTGTAGATATCCCCTGGCTCTTACAGTGTTTCTGACCCTTGTCCATGCTGATCCCTGAGCCCTGTAGAGCAGGAATTCTGATATGGATGTCCCATTTAGAGGTCAAAAATCCACAGTCTCATGTTCTTCAGGTTGACCTATTGTGAGTCTTGTATTTACTACCATTTATTGGGGGCAGAAGAGTGACTAAACAAATTTTGATGAGGGTTGAGAGATATGCTTTTAGTATTGGGTTTTCCCTTCAGATCTGTGACCTAGGCCATCACAGGTTTGGGGCTTTAAATATACTGAGAAAGTTATTGGCAACTCATAATGTATGTACCACTATTGCCTCCAGTGAGGATATTCTTGTCAGGCCAATCATCATTGAAGTTGGCCAAGTTCACAGCTGAATAAGATTGTTGATTCCTTGTTCCCCTTCCAATACTGTGGTAGCTAGCCATAGAGGTGAAGCATCAGTGTCTGGTTTGCTTTCTCCATGTCCATTTACTTCAGGATGTGGTATCTTCAGTATTTACCAGTGGAAATTTACAAGTTCTAGAAGGTAACCAAGAGCATTTGAAATAGCTTGTGATATTTTGGGATGAGGGTTGTTCTGTAGGACCCGAGTGACCAAAAAGTTGAAAAGAGGTAATCCATACTTGACACTGGGGTTATTATTTGAATCTGTGGTGTCTGGGAACAGCATTTTTTCTACCTCTTCTTAACAAAGTAATTTTAATTAAATTTTTATAATGTGTGTGTGTAGGTTGGTTTCCACATGGTTTTTTCAACTGTTTTCAGTGTTAGTCATTATATTTTAGTTACTTTTCTTTTGCTGTGGTAAAGTACTATAACCATGGCAACTTACAAAAAGAAGAATTTATATTGGCTTACACTTCCAGAACGATAAGAATCTGTCATGGTTAGGGGAGACATACAGCAGCAACAGAAAGCTCCAAGCAAGAAGCACAGAGAGCAAGCTAGCTGGAAGTAGAGAAAGGCTATGAAAATTTGAAACCTGTCCCCAGTGATGTATTTCCTTAAGCAAGGTGCTGTCTTCTAAATTTTTCATAGCACCACTAATTGGAGACGAGGTGTTGAAATACCTGATCCTACTGAGGGGGTACATTCTCCCTTTAAACCACCACGGTTCTCTCTCCCATAATCCATCCTCTACCCTGACCTCCTATCCCACATCATTTAACATTTTCTGTTTCATTAATCTTTCCCCCATCATACCATCTGCATTTTATTCCACTTCATTTGAATCCTCCCTTCCTGATCCCTTAGTAGTTTCTTCACTTTTGTGGGTATTCCAATTTAAATGTATATAAAGATTCAAAGCTAGCATCTACATAAGAGACAACATGTGACATTTGTCTTTTTGGATCCAAATGTCGTCATTCAGAATGATTATTTCTAGATTGTTTTCTTACTGTGTATGAAGTAACTCCTTATCTCTTCAGACTATTTTGTTAGATACTAGTCTAATTAACACCTATTTGTTTCTTAGTTCCATTTTCTTGCTGTTTTAGTTTGCTTTCTGTTGCTGTGATAGATGCCACAACAACAGCAATATGGGGAGAAAGGGTTTTCAAATAAGTCAAAGCATATACATTGTCATCACAGTCCTTCATTGAGGGAAGGATGCCAGGGCAGGAGGAGCTTAAGCAGAATAGGAACTGGAGCAGGACCTTAGGGGAGTGCTGCTCACTGGCTTGCTCAGCCTGCTTTCTTGATTAACATGGGACTACCCAACCATGGGTGGCACCACCAACCTCAGCCTGAGCTCCCCACCCAACTGCACACAAGATGTTTCACAGGCTTGCCATTGCAACAGTCTGATGAAGATATTATATAGATTGAGAGTCCCTCTTTCCATGTGACTCTGGCTTGTGTTAAGATCTATTGAAAGATGTGTGTAGATTCTTGTCATTTTGTTGTTTTGTGGGTTTTCTGACCTCTTTTCATTAACTGCTCTGGAGTTGCTTGTTCTTTGTGATCTCTTCTGTTTGACCCTTTCTTCAGAATGAAGTATCTACCCCCTTCCATAATCACCTGATAAGAGTTCTATTAGTGCTCATAAGTTCTTTAGTTTGTTTTTATCATGGAAAGATTTTTTTTTTCCTTTTTTAATAGGTGGTTTTTGTTAGGTATAATATTCTAGGTTGACAGTAATTATCTTTCAGAACTTATAATACATCTTTCCAGGTCTACTGATTTTAAATTTTTCAGTTGAATATTCAAATGTTATTCTGATGGTCTTGACTTTTTAAGTGACTTGACCCTTCTTTCTTAGAACATTTTTTTTTCTTTTTATGTTTTTAATGTTTATGTTGGGGTATGGGGATTTTTTTTTTTCTGGTTCTGACTATTTAGAGTCCTGTAAGCTTCTTTAACCTGGGTGGGCCTCTCTCTGTTTTGGGGAAATTTTCTGTGATTTTACTGAAAATATTCTCTATGCTTTACTATATTGTTGTTCTCCTGTCCTCGTAATTCAAAGGTTAGATCTTTTCATGTTGTCTCATTACTGTCTTATTTTATTCAGTTTTTTAAAAAAATTATCATTGACCTTTACTGATCAATTTCTTTACCTTGTTTTGTAGGCCTGATTTCTGTGTTGTATGAACATTTTATTAATGAGATTTTTCACTTGGCTTATTAGGTTTTCATCCTCAGTATTATTTCATTTTGGAGTTTCTCTAGCACTTCTTTCTCAAGTTCTATTTTCATGTCTCAGATTGACTTCTCTTTGATTTTGTGCTCTTGAACTATATTCATGTCTTCTATGTTAGAAGATGCTTGTAGTTTTGCAATTCTTTGTATTGAAATTCTAGGACAATTTCAGTAGGCGCCTTACTATTGAATTAATAATTTTTGTATACGTCTGGATTTTTTTTCATTTTGTTTCTCTTTTGAGACTTGCACATTTGTTGGTTCAGTTTGTTTGATGCTAGTTGCCTCCTTGCAGCATGTACAGTGTTCAGGAGAGGACTAAGTTACAGTGTTATGGAGATAACTGTCTTCCTCTGAGTGCCTGGTTCAGGGAAGTTTTATACTGGAGTACTTGGGCTTTAGCAGAAGAAGGAGAGTAGGCGGCCCTGTAGGTTAGCTTCCTGAAACAAAATTCCTGGGAATTGTAGGTGGGCCTGGTGAAAAGGAAGTTGGCTCCAGCTCACTTGTAACATATACAGACCTTAGCTGGGGAAGATGGGAACAAGAATGAATGCTGTTTGATGGCCTGCTTTCCGTGGTTTCCTCAGTTGGAATTCTTAGTGCACTTAGGATCCACAGTCCAGGATAGAACTATCCAGAGTGGTTTATGGTTTCCCACTTCAGTCACTAAGGAAGCTACTTCTTTTGAAACTATAATTTAGAAAAGTAACTTAGTTACTCTGCATGTGTATTGCACAGGTAATTCATTAAAATATACTAAATACCCTCCACATAATATAAGTATTTGTATTTATACACATATATCATGTAGTTGTATTTATATGCATTTAATGAGTGCCTAGTATATTCATCATGATACTTATTAGTGCTAAGACATATGTAGGTACAGAAAACACATAACAAATTTATTAGAGTTTGTGTCTTGAACCTTTATACTTTATAGTTTGACTTGCATATAAGAGGTTTGATTTGGTATTTAGCCTAGTAATTAGTAGCCTCAACTCTGCAGTTGGATCACCTGATAACTGAATGTCATCTGAAACCACTTAAAAGCCAGCTTACTTTGAGCAGATTACTTCACTCTTATCCTCAGTATTCTAAAATGGCGATAATAGTAATGTATTACTCATATAATTGTTAGAAGAATTAGTAATTATAGATCACTGAGAAATCTTCTGTATTCTCTGGAATTACAGCTACACCTCTAGGAGAGACACTTAAGTCATATTGAGAAGTATTGAATTTGATGGTTCATTTCAACTTTTACCTGCATCAGGGCAAATTAGATTCCTAGCTTGTATGAGAGGAGTGAATAAGATCTTGTATTTTGCATTGAAGTAGTTTATTTTGGAATTTGTATTTAGGAGAAGTTACAAGAGAGGAGTGTGGATTCCCTAAGTCCTCTAAAAGGAACAGAGCATTTTTTTTTCTTTTTAGAGTTTTTTTTTTTTTTTTTTTTTTTTTGTGCAATAAGGAATGTGCATTGACATTTTGTAATTCATAGAGATAGTATTTGTTTTGGGAATAAGGAATGGACTTGGGAGAAGTAATGCTAATTTAGTTACTCTATTTTTATTAATATTCTGTTCGATTTTTCACCACACAATTGTTTCAGTAATTCTGTTTGTACAGATTTATTTGTTAAAATATCATATGTCCTGACAGAGAAATAACAAGAATTTAAGGGAAAAAAACTAATTGGTAATTTTCTTTTGACAATTGTAGTATTTCAAACCATTAAAGGTTTCCATACTAAGATGTAATATGGTTATTAATGGTAAACTGGAAAATATGCCAGATGTCTACGAACAAAAGGTCATCTTGATGGTTACATATCTATACAGTTCCCCAAGTCTTCTAATTTGATGTCCTGATGACTTATTCTGGACATGTGGCCTACTGAAACTTGAAGCTATTTCAAGAAACTGTCTTACCTATGGAAATAGAGTTCTTAGAAATAGAAGATGCTAGCTGAGGATGTAGCTCAGTGGCATTGTGCTTGCCTACTATGCATATATGCCTTGTCTAGTATGCATTTATGCCCTGAGTTCAAGCCCCAGCACTGGGCAAATTTAAAAAAAAAGAAAACAAAAAAAATTAAAATCCTGAAATGTTGCTACATTTAACATCACAAGGTTGGCTATATGGTCTCACAGATGAGCTGTTTTCCCCTCCCCTTTAGTATTGAATTTGACCGGGATTGTGACTATTTTGCAATTGCTGGGGTTACAAAGAAGATTAAAGTCTATGAATATGGCACAGTCATCCAGGATGCAGTGGATATTCATTACCCTGAGAATGAAATGACCTGCAATTCCAAAATCAGGTATTATCTTTTTTTGTTTCCACAAAGTAGTATTATATAGCTGCTGTCCATAATAGTGATAAGTATGAAATATTTTACTTTTCCCATATGACTGCTTACTCATTCAGAGTGCATGCTATGATTGTATCTATAGAAATGGTTTGTTTTAAAGCAGAATAATGTCTTTCCAGTAGGTATTTGCTTTCTTTTTGTGGGAATTATCATTTACTTTTGCTTATGAACAGTATCTGAACATCAGAAATAATCCCCATAATATGTACATATCTCTAAATACTATAGTTGTTTCTAGTTTTAAGATTTTTTTCACATAACTATTTGCTTTTCTTTGAAAGAATAGTATTTAAATTTAATTTAGTATAAAGAGTATAATTCATAGCAGCGTTGAACTGACATGTTTTCTAGAAATGTGAGGAATTCCAGAACCAGCACCAGCTTTTTCTTTTCTTTTCTTGCCCTTTTTTCTTTTATTTTTCCTCTTCCCTACTATCATAGAAGAAATAGATTTCCCTAGCAGTTTTTTTTCCAAGAAATTATTTTTTTATTAGTTCAAATTAGAAACAAGCCTGCTTCACATGCCAATCCCTTCTCCCTCTCCCTCTCCCTCTCCCTCTCCCTCCCCTCCCCTCCTCCCCAATCCCATCACTCCTCTGCTCCCTAGGGAGGGTAAGGCCCTCCATGGCGGATCCCCAAAGTCTGACATATCCTGAGCAGGGCCTAGGCCCTCCCCCATGTGTCCAGGCTGAGAGAGCATCCCTCACTGACATCCACATTCAGGGATCTGGATCAGACCCCTGCTGGCCTCCCAGACATCAGTCTGGGGTCCATGCACTCCCCCTTGTTCAGGTCAGCTATTTCTATGGGTTTCATTAGCCGGGTCTTGACTTCTTTGCTCATCACTCCTCCCTCTCTGCAACTGGGTTCTAGGGTTCAGTTCTGTGTTCAGTAGCTCGTCTGACCCCCTGGCAGTTCTTAAGAGCACCCAGTTAACAGTGTAGACTGGAAAAGAAATCAGTCACCCTTGTGCCTTTCTTACCTTAATGAGTACGTACACACCATTTTAAGTATCCTTTATCTGAAATGTTTGGGACCAGAATGTTTCATCCAGTTTTTCATCCATGTACATTGTGAGACATCTTGGAGATAAGATGTGAACCTAAGCACAGACTTCACTTACCCTGGATGTGTGTCTTCACATACATTCATATGAAACAGGGTTTGTGTATAATTAGCCAGTAGATTTGGTACTCTAAGTTTTGGATTCTGGGACATTTTAGGTTAAAGATGTTGGATCCAAAGTATATGTGCTTATATGTGCATTTTAATGATGTTAGTAATAAACTAGTATTATGTTCTTTTTGTTTCCAAATTCATCCACAACAGTTTGTGAACCTGCCCATTTATCAGTGGCACCCATACTTGAGTGTCTATTATAGTCTGTCTAAGTAAAAAATATATTGCAAAAATGAAGTTATTAAATGCACTTGTGCTAGGCATTGCCTTGAGTGCTTTAACAGTTGTTTTGAGATGGTTACCATTATTGCTCCTTTATACCTGAAGAGTGCTAAAACCAAAGGTAAATAGCTTTCCTAGAATGATCTAGCTAATATGTAGAGAGGTGCAGATTGAGGGAGTATTAATTCTAGAGTCTATGCTTGTAACCCCTTTATACTTTTTTATAGCATGTGGCCATTATAGTAATATCACTTGTATAAAATTGTACTTTAAAACATCACAGTAATAAACTCAGCAGAATACTTGGCTCATGACAAATATTCATAGTCATTGTTCCCTTGAGGAAAACATAATTAGAGTTTAAGTGTGCTCCTCTGTCATGGCACATATGCAAATGCATATGTCATATTACAGTAAATAGCTGAAATTGATCAAGACCAGAATAGGGAGCTGAAAGGACCAGTACCTAAGCACAACTAACAGAGTTGTCCAATTTGTTTTTACCAGTTATGAAATACACTAAGATAACCAGAGCTGCAGCTATTAAATGGCAGATCTGGAATTAGAGTACGGGTCTTTCTGAATCTGTAATGGAAACAGTATATTTTAAAATGAAAATGATCTCCTCCCAACCCCTAAAAATTGCCATAAATACAACAGAGAACAAAATACATTCTTGGATGTTACCTGTTTTTTCTTAATACCTTGTTCAGTAATATACACATTTTATTGTCCAATTTAAACATGTATATGTCTCAACAATAGCTTACTACTTTAAATGCAAGCTTTTAGAGAATAATTAAAATCATGAATGTTAAAACTTTGAATCTATTGGGTGGTTTTAATTGGAATTTCAAACATGAGTTTTATTGCTTAAGACCTTTTGAATGTAAATCCAGAAATCCAATTCAAACTCATGTATTTATTTAGCTTAATATGGTTTGGCTCAACAATCTTTCTTACCTGTCATTCTGCTATAACATTATCTGAGCCACTTAGGCATTTGTCATTGTCTTTTTCGAGACAGGGTTTCTCTGTGTAGCTTTGGATCCTATCCTGGCACTCGCTCTGGAGACCAGGCTGGCCTCGAACTCACAGAGATCCGCCTGCTTCTGCCTCCCGAGTGCTGGGATTAAAGGCGTGCGCCACCAATGCCCGGCCTATCATTGTCATTTATAGCTATGCTTGTCACATGTAGCAGAGGTGATCAGTAGGAGCTCTTGGCTCATATGTGTCAAACACTTTGTGATTAGAGTAAAAAGTAGGAAATTTCAGCATTGGATTGTAGGGGAAGCTGTAGCCACGCCTACTTAAGGGCTGGCTACAGGTGTGCCTGACCACGCCCTCACAAGCTTGCGAGGGCGTGGTCAGGGGACGTAGGGTGACTGCGTTTTCGCTTTCGTGTTTTTTTGGGGGGTTTGCATACAGACTGCTGCCATGCCGGCTGGCTAGGTCACTCTATAAGTAAGGCTTTTTCCTATTAAATACCCTTATATTTCTACCTGACTCCATATTGGTAATTTCCCACTATATTGGATAGTTCACTGTCAATTAGAAAATGTGGGTATTACTAACATCTCTCTCTGAATGATTGTGAAGTGATGTAAACCATTTCAAAGAGTGTTCATCTTCCTGAACACACTGGAATTCATTATGCTCCATTGTTACTTATTTACATCTTAAAGTTTTATCTTTTTCTTTCATTCAGCTGTATCAGTTGGAGTAGTTACCATAAGAACCTGCTAGCCAGCAGTGATTATGAAGGCACTGTTATACTATGGGATGGATTCACAGGACAGAGATCAAAGGTCTATCAGGTAAATATGGAAACTGACTGTATGTTAAGACAATTTTTTTTGTTTTTATAACAAAGATATTCATGTGCTTTATAATTTAAAAATTTCAACCATTATTTAAAATTTTCCTAATTGCATAATAACTCTGGTAGTACCAAATGCTTTTCTAAGAGATACTTTGTACTTTATTTTTTTTAGAAAGTATCAAATAAATTTACCAAAGCATTAATTTTAGTAAGTGAGGCTTTCCACCAGTGTCTTTGCTTTTCATTTGACTGCAGTCTGTGCTACTAGCCTATATCAATAAATTAATTTTTTTCTCTTTCTTCTATATCAAGGAACATGAAAAGAGATGTTGGAGTGTTGACTTTAATTTGATGGATCCTAAACTTTTGGCCTCAGGTTCTGATGATGCAAAAGGTACTAATTCCTATTTTCCCTCAGAAGTCCCCACTCTCCAAAACTCTTTTTGGGCATAGCTGTGTAAATTATTTATTGAAACTCAGTTCTTTGTCAATCCAAAATAATTTGAGGGAGATATCAGTTTTTTTTTTTCCTTCTGAGTGAAGGAAAAATGAATGAATGCACTACATTTTCATAATAATGTTTTTGTATTTGTGCCAGACATCTGAATTGCTGGCAACTTCCTAAATATACTTATTTTCTTTATGTGTATATTTGTAGGTGCTTGAATCAAAACTCCACTTTTCATGATTATATAGCAAGTGCTGTTAACACTGAGTCATGTGACCAACCGCTACTGTCATCTTTTAACCAAGTTTTTTACATATACCATCTAGTAAATTTTATTCCTTGACGCATTTAGAAATTTCTACATTCAAAATTATATTAAATGTTCAATATATTCTAAAGCCTCAAGGTGTTGTAATATTTCCAAGGCCAGTTTGTATCTATCTCTTTTGCTAGCTTAATTGGCCTTTTCTGCTTTTCTTCTTTGTCTGTCTTTACTATTTGTTCCTCTCTGCTACAGAGATGTGAACAGATTAGCTTACTTTTAAATTGAGTGTACAATACCAGTAAACTCAGCTTTGTACACCTTAAAGGTGTACTTAAAAGGGGCCATGTCCTGAAAAAAATCAGATGGAAATAAAAATTAATTACTATGAAAATTGTTTGGGTTTTTTTTTTTTCCTTTTCTTTGTTTCTTTTTTTTTTTTTTTTTGAGTACTTTGTTTAGCTATGGACCATCATGAAATGTGTTTTAAATTTTTCAGACTTAAGGTACAAAATATTTTATAACTTTAATTCCTTTAAATTTGTTTTAATTCACTTTGTGGTCCAGTTTATGAACTACCTTGGTAAATATTTCAAAGGCATTGAGAAGAATCTCTACTCTGGCTCCTGTAGAGAGAGTTCAGTAAGTGTCATTTAGGGAACACATGATGTTTATTTCTGTGCTCTATTTAATAGTTTTCATTTCTTCTTGCAAGCCATAGGCTTTTTATTTATATGAGTAAAAATATAAAAATAAATCTTTGAAGTGACAGGCATGGTTTCTGGAGATGGCTCAGAGGTTAAGTGGACATTTCCAAAGGCTCCAACAACTTTGGCCTCAATCGGAACAAAAAAGTAGTTAGTTGAAAATAAAAACGTGTCCCATTTTATTATTCAAAGAAGTAACTACAATTGTTACATGATTTTTTTTCTTTCTACTCAGTAATAAGTCAATAAATTGTTTGTAATAAAAAATAAAAATAGCTTCAATTTTCATTGTGTCAAATAATCTCTTTTTGAAGTCTCACATATGCCAGTAGAACCTGCAGTAATTGGCCAGGAGGATATCATGCCAGTGACTCTTTCTGTAAGAGACTACAAAGCAATCTTGATGTACACACTTTGTTAATCCCTGTACATGCTAGGGCAGAAGACGGGGAAATCAAGAGTATGTGGGGTTATTTGAAAACAAAAACTCAAGTTATATTCAGAGACAGTATTAAAACATAATTGGACTAGAGAGATGACTCAATAAGTAAGAGTATTTGCCTCTCTTGCACAAGGCTGTGTTTGGTTCTCAGCACCCATGTGACAACTCAGAACCATCTGTTATTTCAGTCCCAGGGGACAGGACATTCCCTTCTAGTCGCCAAGGCTGCTTCATGCATTCTGTGTACTTATATTCACCCAGGCCCATGTGTATACCTACACATAATTTAATAAAGTAAACCTTAAAAAAAACAAATTGAGTCCTGCCTGACACATACAGTAGAGGTGTATGCCTTCATTTACTTCTCTTACCATAAAGGCATAAGCCAATTGAAGGTTGGCACATGCTGGTGAATGACCCCTTTATTAATACATAGTACCATTATTTAAGCCTCTTAGTTGTCTTCTGAGAACTACACCATTAAATATTCATGAATCAGAAGTCTCTTCTTTATAACTATTTGTATTAATGTTTTACCTTTCCATTTTCTTTTATGAGCCTTATACAGTATTTTCTTTCTTGTATTTTTATTCAGATTGAGTAATTCCTATTTTATTTTGAGTTCGCTGACTCCCTTGTTTAGCTCCATTTTTTTCTAAAATCTTTCATAGATTCTTTTGTTAATCAAATTTTTTTTATTTTGCTCTATAAACATGTATCACTTAGGGAAATAAAACATGCCTGTGAATTAATGGGACCTTTGTGACCCTCATCTGTGTTCCTCTTAGTTTGACAATACCCTGTCATTGATTTAACTTTTCTCCTCTGTGAAAGTCCACTTAGTGAATATTCTAAGCTATATACACTCCCTTTGCACTGCAGTGCAAAGCCAGCTGTGGAAAATACAAATCAAGAGCATGAGCCTGTCCTAGTAATGTTTTCTAAAAACAGTGTTCACAGACTCCATGGATTATTTTAAAAATAATGCCTATGTCTCTTATAAGAACTTAGGTTTTATGGTAGTTTTGGTAAATAGCGTCGGTTTTATTCATGAGTATTTCTTCTGTTTTACTATATAAATACAATGTGCATTCTGTTACGGAATTGACTAGCTCAAATATTACAGATTACTAGATAATTAACTTCGTTTTGTAGGGTAATTGGATTTTTAAATTTTTATTAATTTTGATTGAGCTGAATAATCAGATGATACTAAAGGAAAGCCATTCCTTTACCTATAACACAAAAGAAATAAAACGTGTATAGAACACCTAATGTTATATAACAGATTTGTTTCCCAGTGCCAACTAAATTCATAATGAATTTGTTTTTGATCTCCTTCATTGCTATATGATTTTCTCAGCAGTCATTTTTATATTCTTTATTAGAACCAAAGGAGAACATATGTAAATTAATACATGTTTTGATTTAATGGCTTTGGATGTTGTTGTTTTTTTAAGTTAATTTTTACTTTTTTTGAGAATTTCATGAGTTTGTTATATTCACCACATTCTTTTACTTTTTCCAGATATACCTCCATTGACTTACCCATCCAACTTTGTGTCCTCTTTTTCTTTTTTCAACAAATCTCAACTTGTGCTATCTGTACATGGATATCTGACCTTCCACTGGAGCTTAGTTTACCTACCAGTGGCAACATGCAAAGAAGACTGACTCTCTCTCAATTGCCACTAGCTCTTTCTCTAAGGGTGGGATATCATGTCCAGTCCCCCTCTCCATGGTGGGATTGCATGGGCTTTTGTAGGGTCATAACTGCTATGAAATCATAAGGGAGCTTCTTGATTGTGTCTGGAGGACACTGTTTCCTTGCATAGTCTTTCTGCCTCCTCTTCTTTAAGCCTTTTGAGGAGAGGATGCAGTATCAGTGTTCCATTTAGGGCTGAGTATTCTGGTGACTCTTATTCTCTGCACCTCGGCTAGTGTGGGTCACTTTGTTAATCAAAATCTTTGTAGCCAATAGAAGCTTCTTAAATGAGAATTGAAAAGATGCATTCATCTGCATCATTGCCAAGTGGACAGGCTAGAGTATCTGATGAACAAATAGCTTACTTCTATATCTTGACCATTATAAATAGTGTCACAATAAATATGTGAGTGCAGGTGTCTCAGTAAACACATTTTACTTTTTTTGGATATGTACCTAGGATTGGGGTTATTGGATCATGGTAGTCCCTTTCTCCACTGCCCAGCCAACATTTGTTACCTTCTATCCTTTTTATGATAGTCATTCTTACTGAAGCTAATTACAAATTGTGGTTTCTGTTTGAATTTTTCTGATTAGTACTGTTAATCGTGTGTGTGTGTGTGTGTGTGTGTGTGTGTGTGTGTGTGTGGCACCAGGCTGGCCTTCAACTCACAGAGATTCACCTGCCTCTGCTTCCTGAGTACTGGGGTTAAAGGCTTGCACCACTACCACCTGGGTTGCCTATTGAAGGAAGGAAAGAAGCCAGCCAGCCTACTGTTGACTCAAACCCACCTCCTAGAAGAACAGCAAGTGCTCTTAGTCACTGAGCAAGTTCTCTTACCTGTAATTCAGAAATTTTGTTAAAGTTTCAGGATATGAAATGAGAATACAGAAGTCAGTAGTGTTGTTATGTAGTGTTAGCAAATTATCTGAAATGGAAAGCCAAGATAATTTGGCTAACTAATAACATAATAACTGTAAAGAGTTTATATGTGCTGAGTGAACATGTCTACTGACTGAAGTAGCACCTTCTAATTAGAAAAGAACATAAAACAAAATGACTGTGTTTAAAATCCTTATTTACTATGGTGTGTTTTTCAAGGCTTACTAATTTTGGTATAAGTTGTTATATTTACTGAGACATTTCATGTGTAAGTTGTAAAAGTCATCTTCATGGAAGTCCTCTTTATGGGGACCACTTTTAGTTACTCCTTTTGACAGGTAACTTTGTCAGTAGTCTTCAAAGATTCTAAAGTTTTCTATGCTTAAAACCCCAAATACATGTTGGAATCACTTGGGGAGTTTTGTTTGAAATAAAAGTAAAAACAAAATATCCGATGGTACCTGGGTACCATCTGAGAAATGTTCCTGGAACGGACATTGGAACAGATCAAAAGATGGATAGTAAAACTTTCCCTCTACTTTCAATGCTTGTTATTTATGGTGCCTTAATATTCCATTTTGTGACTTATATTTATTCTCATATATTTTCATTGTTTAAAAATCACATTTGCTTTGGTACTCTTGTAAGATAATAGCTCCATTTTCTGCTTAAGATCAGCTCTGCTCTAGTTTGATTCCAAATGAATCATAAATTCTAGTTAATTCCACTAGAATAGACTGTATCATATATCAAGAAATAACTTTAAAATAAAGCCATGGTTTTCATTTCCTATTATTTATGTCTCCTTAAACCACAGAAACTAAAATTTACATAAATTTTAAATAATCATGAAACTGTTTATTGGAAGCTACTACTTTATAAATATCCTTAATTTTTCTTAATTAAAAGTTTTTCATACATGTACGTAATGAATATATCCCTTCCCCCATTTCTCCCTTTCAACTACCAACAAATACCCAACAACACTCCCTCCTGGCTTCATTATCTGTTGTTGTTTGGGAGGGAGGGAGGGTGGGAGGGAGGGAGTGTGTGTGTGTGTGTGTGTGTGTGTGTGTGTGTGTGCACGAAAGTCTCATTGTAGCCTTCGGTGGCCTGAAACGATGAAAATAGGCTGGACTTGAACTCACAGAGATCTGCCTGCCTATGCCTCCCAGGCACTGTGGTTAAAGGATGAGCCACCATATCCCTCCTTTTTTGATAACCTACTAAGTCTAGTTGCATGCATGTTCATGTATATGAGGCTATATACTGGAGCATGGGAGACCTACCAGTACCAATAAAGAATGATTCTTCCTCTCCCTGCAACTATCCACTCCCTGATGCTCCTCAGTATGGGCCAAATCATAGAGATCATCCATACTAGAAATTTGGCTAGTTCAGGCTTTGTGTGGGTAAACACATGGTTGTGCTACCATGCCATGGCCAGAAGAAGTTGCTTCTCTGACAGAGATTGACAGCAGCCCAGATCTATCTACATTGGAAGTTCTCAAGTGTTTTAGGAGATGCTTTTATCTTAACATATCTCATTCATGTGAAAATGTTTGATTTTTGTCAAAATGTGTGTTCTTACCTTCACTATAGAATAATGAAATTAATTCATATACAATGGATCCACCATCTAGCTCCAGAATGCTTTTTTTGTTACCTATCTTTGTGAAATCACTGCTCATATCTGTTGATTTTTAACGTTGAAAGTAAGCTCTCAGATTTAAGAATTGTTCTGTTACATGATTATTCAGCTCAAAATTTTTTTAATAAAATGTTTCATGTTGAAACAAACGTTATTGGTAATACTTGTCAAGTTACAGAAACATTTGCTCATTGTATTGTTTCTTTTTATTTTCATCATTATTACCTTAGTGAAGCTGTGGTCTACCAATTTAGACAATTCCGTGGCAAGCATTGAGGCAAAGGCTAATGTATGCTGTGTGAAATTCAGCCCCTCCTCCAGATACCATTTGGCTTTTGGCTGTGCAGGTAAGAAATAAAAGTAGATTTATCTTCTTTCAGTTTTTATCTTGTACCTAGAAGTACATTTGAAAATGAATTAAGTACCTTTGTAATCTTAAATTTTCTTTTTTATGGTTAGGTTTTAATGAGCGGTGTAGCATTACTACTCATTTATAATTACAAATATTTGATAGTTTTGGGGCATTGTTATTGATATTGTATACTTCCCCATACAATTCCATGCAGTGTATTTACTTTGATTTGGATTGATTTTTATGAGTGAAATTTTATAGTTTGTTGACTATAGGGTCTGGAATTTTTCTGGTCAGCTTTTTTTTCTATATATAATTTTGTTTTGATTTTAAGTAAAATAGTAGTTCCGTTCTCTCTTGTACTACTTTTTAAAAAATATGGACAGAAACTGTTGCTATTTGCCTTGCCAATAGACATATTTATTTTTCTTTCTAAATGTAGTAGCTTTTTTTTTTTTTTCAGTTTACATTAGCCAAAAATGTTAGGTGTACTCACTTTTGCAGTGATTCATTGCATTCTCTACCTCAGTACAAAACCAAGGACAGTGCTGTGATTACTAGTCACTGTGGTAACTGTCTATTTCATTTAGTTGAGTGGGCTTTAGTTGTTTTGGTACTTAGAGCATATATTTTTATATATTTATCTATTGAAATCAAATACTTTAATTTTACTGCTGTTTGCTTCAATACACATCCAATATTTTATTAAGTGTCTTTCAGAATTAGTTCCCTGGATCTGTTAGCATCATGAGTTATGCTTACTCATTTTCTCATTCAGAATTGGTTGTCTTTCTTGAACAGCCTTGGCTTGAGCATAATAGATAGAATTCTTCCAGCGAAACCTGATTTTTTTCCTAGTATTGCAGTCATATCCTTAAGCTGTATTTCTTTAATATTGTTCCTCTCCTTTTAACTATTTGCAATGCTTACTATCTCCTTAATATTTTAAAGTTTTAAATGTAAGTTATTTTTTTTGTCCTCCTGTGAATATAACTTTTATGTTTGGGTGTTTGTACTGTTAGTATATAGAAATGCAGATAAATTTCAAAAATCATTTTACATTCGTCCCTTCTAATTTCCATAATTGTAGTTTTATTGCATATTTCTTGGGATATATATTTGTATAGGATTGTATATTATACAAACTAAAACAAATTATGAATTCCTTTTTTTGCATTGTTTAATTCGCTAGAAGATAAAGTATAGTGTTGAATAGATTCATAATAGGAAATAGAAAAAATGATCACTTTCCATGTGACCAGCATCATTCATGTACAATTTGGTATAATGCTTACGATTGAAAGCAAAAACTTTGATGCCGACAAAAATATGTCCAGGAAAAGGTAAAAATTAATAGCTGTCTTAGCATCAGCAAGAGAAAGTGTGTATCTCCAAAGCCCAGTAAGAGTTACCGTGGTCCTGGCACACACATTGAGTTTGCCCCAATACCAAGTTTCAATATAGTTGCAGTTTTGTGGCATTTTTATAAACGTAGAACAAAAGAAAAAATCATATATTAAGGCATTTTTCAACTACATTGGTGAAAACATCAGGCCAGGAAAGTTACAGACAAATGGGGAAATAGCTGCTATTGGGTTCAGATGCTATCTGATGACATTTTGGTCTTTAGGATTGGTGGGATATATATAGTGGTCTGCTAAGTTAATACAGCCCAGGATATTTTACTTTGATAGTTCAGGTTTGTTTGTTCAGATCCAAGTGAGCAGGAATTGGCTATTGAGGGGGCTAAAAATAGCCCAAGAAAATTTGTCTATATATTTACAACATTCAAACTCTGCCTTTGGTCAGAGTTCATTATCACAGCAACACTAATAAAGAAGCCTTAAATAATCGAAATGTATGCTATATTAATGAATAGTGATACTTAAAGTGCCAGAGATATTAATTCTCTGAAGACTGATCTGTGTGTGTTTATCACAAGTTCAGTAAAAGAATTAGATTCTTTATAGATGTTATATAATTTGATTGTTAACTTTTGTAGTAAAAATCAGTTTTGAGGAAAAAAAAAAAAGTCCACCTTCCTCCCTTGACAGTCTTACTATGGAGATACAGTGAATTAATAAGACATCATGGTATTGGAATTACAAACACAAAATCAGTCGAACAGAGACACTTAAGGAAGCTTTATTCCTTGTAGCCCAAGATGGGAAACAACACAAATGACTCCTGGAGATAGATCGAGTCATACATCATTCTAGTTTGGGGTGGTAAAAGTTGGTGGGAGAAGGACAGAGCAACTGGCAATTTTTTTCCATGTCATGATAAAATACTCTTGTCAAAAGCAACTTAATGAGGGATGTATATATTCTGATTCACAGTATAGCTTACCATATGAGTGTTGAAGAAAAGATCATACATCAATTCTTGGAACTAGTTACCAGCAGGCTAGAGAGATGGCTCAGCACAAAAGAGTACTGACTGTTCTTCCAAAGAACCTGGGTTTGATTCCCTGCACCCACATGGCAGCTTTGAACTATTTGTAACTCCAGTTCTTGGGGTCCTGACACTCCCACACAAACTTACATCCAGGCAGGCAAAACACTTATGCATACAAAGTAAAATAAATGTATATATATAAAGAACTAGTTACCTGAACTTGTTATTAGGTCATATTTTGGTTGCATAACCCCTATTCATCTTTTTAGACAGAACCTAGTATCCTAGCTTAGTCTTGGAACTTGCTATGTCGATGAAAATTCCAATAATTTCTTGCTTTTATTGTCCAAATGATGTGATCACAGGCATGTGCTACTACACCAAATCCAGTTCAGTTGTTGTGCCTTCCTTTTCTTCATTTACTACATTTATCTCTTTGTTTTGTTTTAGATCACTGTGTTCACTACTATGATCTCCGTAACACTAAGCAGCCAATAATGGTATTCAAGGGACACAGAAAAGCAGTCTCTTATGCCAAGTTTGTTAGTGGTGAAGAAATTGTCTCTGCGTGAGTATTACTCCCCTTGGAGGGTGAGTTTAGTAGAGGTCTCATCATTGATGTTGTAGGTATATGTAAAGGATGACCTCAATTATATTTTCTTTCTGAAATAACAGATTTCTGTATCTTCCATTAAAATGCTTGTATCTTACCTTCGTTGTTCATTTTTATGTTGTGAATAAAATGTATTACGTTCTGATAGGTCCTCTTAAAAGTGATATTTTTAATTTAAGTAACATTTGAGCTTCAAATTTTATTTCTGTTACTTCTTCTCCCAAAAAGGTAACCAGTATGGTTGATGAAATAGAAAGAATGATTAAAGTCAATCAGTATGTATTACTTAAATATGACAGCTTTCAACATAGTAGTAGAAGGATTTTTAATTTTAAGTAATTGGTTGATATTATACTAACCTATATCAGTTTCACAGTAAAATCTGTTTTAAAAATAACTTTTTAAGTGTGTCTGTTTATAACAAGCAAATGTCCTTTGTAAAATCTTTTAGTTACTTTTTTGAAGGAAATAAAATCTCAGTCATATAAACTCCATGGTGAAACTATAGAACTTTTCTAATAACATGGGTACTTCCATGTTTTGGTTATCCATCTCATAGTTTTCTTATTATGTAGCAAATATTCATTCTTAATTTCTACACACACATGCACGAATGTGTCTCTTCCCAAACTTAATGGTTTCTTGCTTTCTTCTCTTTTTACTTAGTTCTTTGTCTTTCTTAGAAGAATACTTATTCCAGTGCCTTGAATTTTGTATCTCACTTTCACAGTGGTGGCTCTAAATAAGAATTTGGTGATTTGGCAAGATGATTTTAGTTCAGTTTCAAAAGAGGACAAAAAAATTCATAACTGAGATTTCCAAGGGAGTTATTTGGGTAATGAATTGACAAGCTTAATTTAAGTGGTAGCTAAAAAGTATTACATCTTTAGGGTAGCCATAATAGGCGGTAAATGACTTAAATGAAGTATATTTTATACCGAAACATAAAAGGACAGTCATTGCTATATTTTGGAATAAAATAGATCAAAGCATATTTCTGAAAGAACTCAAATCAAACAGTTTGGATCTTGGCTATATATAGTTGTAACCTTCTGAATCTTAATTTTTTCATTTCTAAATGGGGCTAATAGCAGAACTAAGTTATTTTAAATCTTTAAACAAAATAATATATGAAAAATCTGTATCATAGTGTCCTCCTCATTAAGTATAAATATAAACACAGCCCCTTAACAGTTTGCAAAATAGTATCTGTCCTAAAATTGTCTATTAAAACATTACCAGTGGGTTTTATATTTAAAAAAAAAAAAAGTTTTGGGTAAGAAATGAGATCCATGTATTCTTTCAGCAAAATGCGTTGTGTACTTTCCAACCATATCTCTTACATGTAGGAATGGCATGAAAATAGTTCATATCTAGTATGCCAGTAACAAGAAGAATGAGTATCTCCTCAAAATGAAACATCTCTCAGTACAAAAACTCATTATTTATTGATAATGCGACAGTGCTGTTGATGCTGTTAATGCTTATACTTCCTATATCCCCAAGCATTATTGAAAAAATGTTAAGTGAATTTGGTTTGTACAGTGTTAGGTCCATTTAAATCTATACAATAGATCATCATGTATCATATTTAACTGTTGAAACATTGAAGCCAGTGAGAAAACAAGACTCAGACCCTCAGGTACCAGAGTCTGCATTCTTAACCACAAAACTGGATTGCTTTTTAATCACTTTTGGTGATGAGTTTCATACCAAGAAATCTAAAATTTACTCCTCTTTGTGTTTATCCCAGCTCAACAGACAGCCAACTAAAACTGTGGAATGTGGGGAAACCATATTGTTTGCGTTCCTTCAAGGGTCATATTAATGAAAAAAACTTCGTAGGACTTGCTTCCAATGGAGATTATATAGCTTGTGGTAAGTGAAATTATATTCTTAAAGAAACTTTGCAAAGACATGTCATGGTAGTTTCCAGTTGATTTGTGCTCTCAGAAGGTAGCATCACTTGATGCTTAGGACTGAATTCCTTCTTCCAGTCATGCTGGAGAGGATGAGTTTTTCTGTTCTGCATACAAGCACTGTATTCATAGTAATGCCAAAGATTTTTAACTGTTTTCTAGTAATTCTAAACATGCCATAATTTCTGTAGGTATTATATAGACTATAGAAACTATTAATTTCTGCTACTATTATTTCATAAGACATCTTTTCAGAAACGTGATATTCATTCCACCCTGCCTAGTATCCTTTTCATTAAGCAGTTTGTTTGGGTTGGATGAATATGTTATTCTAGATTTTTATATATATGATATATGAAATTTTATAGCAGAAGTGGAAAAATTCAATATACTATTATTCAAATGTTCTAATAGAGTTAATGAACTTTTGTTAACACTTTTAAATGACATGGCTCTTATTTATTAAATTGTATTTCCTCCTAATGTATGAACTTGAATACCACCAAAGTAGGTAAGCTGCTCAGTTATCCTTGGAAGGCTCCTGAAATGTGTCGGTTTGACCTCTCATCTGATAGGGTAATGCTGTTTGGGGAATGGAGAATTAAGTTGTTGAGGCTATTCAAATTGGCCTTTGTTAAATACCAAATCTTCTGTTTTCCTTTCTACATTTTAATCTTTCCAAATGCTGTTTAAGACTCTTGTTTATAACAGCTTTTTGAATGTACAGACTTCTGCTATGAGTGTTTTTTTTTTAATTTAAAACATTTTAGTTTAGAACTATAAACACTGTTATATCATTTAGCAATAGTTTTTGTCCAAGAATCCCTTCTCACATAGTTCCCAATTAATTGGTCTTGTGATCTTGTCTTTCAGATTTGAATGTAAAAGATAATTGGTCTCTTTGCTAAAACTTGGATTAATAATTACTATCTGAATGTTGTGTTCTGGAACTAGAGCTAGAAATGTAGTTCATTATAGCCAAAGGCCTTAGATTCAATTTGTAGCACAGAGTATAGGGTCATAGAAAGAATGGTATTCTAGCTGGCTGTGGTATCATATACTTATGATCCCAGCATTTGAGAGGCAGAGAAAGACAGTTGTGAGCTTAAGGACAATTGGGGATATATAGCAAGACTTTCCCAAATGAATGAGTGAGTGAGTATGTATGTATGTATGTATGTATGTATGTATGTATGTATGTATGTATGTATTCTAATTTCAGATTCTCCCATTCTAAAAAGTGCATTTACTTTTTCTTTTCAGGAAGTGAGAACAACTCCCTCTACCTGTACTATAAAGGACTTTCTAAGACTTTGCTGACTTTTAAGTTTGATACAGTTAAGAGCGTTCTGGACAAAGACCGGAAAGAAGATGATACAAATGAATTTGTCAGTGCAGTGTGTTGGCGGGCACTATCAGACGGGGTAAGTTTTCATGTATATTTTTAACCATGGCACTTCATAATGTTTATAAATACATAGCATTGATTGTTTTATTGTTTTCGTTTTAGATTTTAAGGTATAGCTAGGTAAATGGTAGGTGTTTCTTCCTTTTTTTGGTCTGGCATTTTATCAACAGAGAAAATGGGTGTTTTAGATACTAATTGAAACATTGCCAGCTTAAGCTTAGCTGTCCTGAAACTCAGATCTGTAGACCAGCCTGGCCTCAAAGGCAGAGATCTGCCCACCCTCTGCCTTTCTGAGTGCTGGTGTTAAAAGCCAGGTTGTTTTTTAATTTCTTTGTACAGATTGGAAGTTTAGCAGGGTGGGATCTTGCCTTGAGGTCACCATTCCCTTTATTCCACTCCTTAACCTGTTTATCTCCTTGACAGAGGATTTAGCTCCATTTCCCTTTCTAATGCCCCTTTTCTCCTTAATCTGTACATTTTGCATTTTTTACTTGCTCAGCTTGCTCCTTTTCATTATAGAAGAGTGAACACTAAAACCACACGACAAAATCTATACTAGGCTGTTTTGAGATTTCCTCTGCCAGTGCAATTAATCCAAAACTCTTCAATTAAGCCTCAGGCACATTTTTTGGACACTGGCAGAAAGCAGCCACATTCTTCACCAAAATGTCATAAGAATAATCTGTAGGCCACATACTGACATTCTTCTTTGAAACACATTGAGCCAGGCCCCTACGGTTCAAATCCACCCTCAGCACCACTGCCTTCAATGTTTGTACTGTGGTATCCCATTAAGCCTTGCTTAAAGCCTTCACCGGCTGTTCTAATCCAAAGTCCACATTCCTCCAAACTAAATTATGGTCAGGCTTATCACAGCAATACCTCAGTCCATGGTACCAACTTCTGTATCAGTATTGTTTTGTTCTTAGTGGGTTGGTTTTTGTTTTGTTTTATTTTTTAGTGTTTGTAGATATGGTCTAGCTTTGTAGTATAGGCTTTCCTGGAACTCTTCAATCCTTCACCTTTCATCTACCAAATTCTGAGATCATAGACAAGCATCACAATGTCGGTGGGGGTGGGGTGTTTATAGTTAGTGTGACCTAAGTGTATAGTTTTTATAAACTTAACATCAGTAGACTGTATGTTCTAGCCCTTCACATTAATATGACGTACTGCCTCATTCAAAGCAGCTTTCAGTCTTGCAGGTTCTTTGATTGTCATTGCCAGATATATACACCATGTTGTATATCTTCTGGACAGATTTTGAGCATAGCAATTTATGACTGTTTAGATACTCAAATGCTTAACACCAAGTATACATATATCACCAATCTCCTATAGTATTTAATATTAATACAGTAAATACAGTACAAGTTATAACTTAAGAGCAATAGATTCTATATACAACTTGGGGAGGTAGTGGGCTGGACCATCTAGCTTTTTGTCAGTATATGCTGTGATGTTCCCACAACAACAAAATCATCATTAAAAAAAAAAAAAAAAAAAAAACATGTTTCTAAGCATATTCATACCTACCTTGAACGAGGACAGAAGAATTACCAGACTAGGAATCAACTACACTCAGAGCAGATTGTTAAGGGCAGAGAAATTGGAATCTAGTGTTCCTAAGCTACATCATATGAGTGACTCATCGTGTTTTAGAACAAAAAGAATTATAATCTAGGGTGATGAGTGACTCATGGTGTTTTAGAACAAAAAAGAATTATAATCTAGGCTGAAATGGTGGAAGATAAACTGTGATATTGAAAATCAGCTTCAAATCAGACCAGTTCTTGAAATTTAATTGAGGGGGGTCCTAGATTACTGGTATCCACAGAACATAAACCTAAATTATCTATAAAAGATTTACATGTTTTTCTGCTTTTGGGAATATAATAAGTAGGGCATAGTAGCAACTAAAAAGGCATAGGAAAATACAACACAATAGAAATAAAAATTCAGCATAGTAACACACAATAGAAACAGAATCACAGCAGCTCTGGATTATCTCACCTGGCTTATAAGTAAGTATCCATGCTTACAAAATTAAAGACAAGATTGACAATTTCACTTGGGAATTGGAAATAAGTTTCACAATAAAAACACACGATGAATTCATTGCATGAGTTAAATGAAAGCAGCTGCTGCTGCTGCTGATGAGCCAGTGGATAAGTTAGGAGGAAATATACAGAGGAATTCATAGAGGGACATGGGATATGGCTCAGTTAGTAAAATCTGTGTCCAAGCATGAAGAACTAAGTTAGATCCCTAGTACTTACATGAAAAGCTAAGTACAATGTACCATCCTTATAATCCCAGTACTGTGGGGGCAGAATAGTAGGATCCCTGGAGTTTTCTTGCCACTGAGTCTCAGAAAAATAAGGTGAAACGATTGAAGAAGACACTGGATGTTAGACCTTGTCTTCCATATACAGGGGTGCAAAAATGATGGGAAAATAAAAAGAAGAAAAGTACTATAGTACTATATTCAAGAATAGATTTTAAAATGTGAGAAGACAAATAATTTTACATGAGCAAGAATTAGAAGGGATATTTTTGAGAAACTTAGGAATTTGGTAAAAGATATCAAGGTAAAGATTTGTTGAGTCTTGGAAGTTCAGAGAATGGAGATGTGAATGAATATCCCAGGACCTTCTCACAGTACTGTTTCACTGGAACACATTAAGACAAATATAAAACATTGTATGCTAGTTTCAAATCAACTCTTAAATTATATTATAAAACACTATCATTGGGCAGGGAGACCCATGAATTGGCATACTGCCCTTACCTCCATGTATATTGAACAGTGAAAGAGTCATTGAAATTAAACCATGTCAATTGTATTGAGGTAAACCATATGAGTCTCAGTTGTCTCTGGTTGATTATATATATGCTTAGTGAAAGTCAAGGTAGAAGTCTGTGATCCCTATGAAAGCCTATGAATGGTTTAAAGGTTTATGGGGGCTGATCCTTATGCTATATCCTTCTGTATAGTTTTACTGATTTTTGCTAGTTAAAAACCAGTTGTCTCATCTTCTAATCCTTGCTAATGGTGAGGTTTTTACTATTTGACACAATGTAGTGAATGAATGCTTCTAAATTCTTGCTGATTATTGGGATTGTTTCGAAATATCTCAAAATTGGAAACAAAACAATTCCAGTTTTAGATTCCTAATACATAATTCAGGAAGAAAAGAACATAGGTAGAGATCTGTATTCTGCAAAGTTCCCCAAGGCTTCATGGGAAATGATATATGAATAGTCAAGCTTGGAAACAAGAAATCATACTAACTCTGAGAAAGTACCATGTTACACAGGTCTGCCAAGATACCTCAGTGATTCTCAAGCACTTGTTAGAGGGGATCATTATGACCATGAATATCTAATGTCTTAGATTTTGCTACTCCTTCACTTAGTTTAGAGAGAAGCAAAACAAGTATGATATTTTTTCTTCAATTAAAAAAATTTAAATACCATCTTAGAAATATATTCACTAGGCTTGGTAACATCTTTAATTCCAGCACTGAGGTATCAGGATTAAGATACATAAATTTAAGCACAGCATAAATTTAAGGGGGGGTATCTCAAGGATACACAGACCATATGTGTCTATATGCCTATAAATCTTATATATAATCACATGACAGAAGACTTCCCACACACTGCTTTTTCAAAATTCTTCAGTGAATATATAATAGAGGAGCTTCTCTTCCCCACTTTTTTCAGCTGTTTCTCTTCATCCTTTTGTCTTCCTTTTTTTTTCCTTTAGCTGGATGATTGTAACGCTTTAAAAAATTGTGCTGACAGGAAGAGGGGCAATCTGAATAAGTTCTTTGTGTTGAGAGTGGAAAAAGATTCTGACTTCCAGGAATGTGCTTCCATCTCCTAAATTTTTTCTTCTCCAGTATCCATAATATAGAAAGGCAGAAACATTCAAAACAGAGACAGAAAACTAAGGCAATGAATGCTGTTAGTTTTTTCTCAGAGTAAATTGTTTGAGATATAGATTTTCCTTAGTTTACTGGCCGGTATTATATGGACCAACTCAACGAAAACATTTGTTGCTTTAGATTTTGTAGTGAATGTGGTAAGGAAATCAACAAACTTTATGGAGTCTATTGCTTGACATTTAAAGTATTTCATTATTGACATTTTATATTTACTGTAATAGAATTTGACATAATAAAATAACTCAATTTTTTTGTTTTATATATGCCAATTTTAACTAATAGAATTAACATAGATCTTTAAATGTTGCTTTGTTGGTTTGAAGTTTGCTTTTTTCTAAGGAAAAATAAATATTATTTAAGAAGGCATTATGAATAACCTTGACCTAACATGAATTTTTACTAAATAATATTATTTTTATTCTTTGAGAATAAAATAATATACACTCATATATCTTGATCACAATCAATCCCTCCCCTTCCACCTAATTGCTCCTAGACCCCTGACCATCATCCTGTGGTCTCTAAATTTGATGTCCTTATTAAAAAAATACTTCTCCACTCTAGTTTGTGTTAGCCATATGCTTGTGGGTGTGTGATCATCCATTTAGAGAGTTGACCTACCAAGGTCTGCACATGTACTGAAAACTGGTTCTCCCTCCTCCAGAAGTCATCAGCTAATGCCCACCCCACTGTACTCCTGTGCTGGATGTTGATGGTAGATCTTATGCACAGCTTCCACTATACTTAAAGGTGTCCAAAATACTCTGAGGTAAATTCTGAATGTTTATCTGTCATACCAAGTTTCCTTATTTCTAGTGAAAGGAGGAAAATTGAATAATGGATGCCACTTCCTTTTACTTAAAAGTTTAATGAATGCTACTTACAGGTACTGAAGTGTACATAATGGAAAAACATATTTTCTAGTTGAATAAAAATGCATTTAGTAAATACTTAATGTAGAACCAGCCAAGCCCCTCACCCTCCCCCCTCCCCCAAAAAGAGAAGGGATTGCTTGCAATATGGGTAACAACTCTAGGAGACTTATTTCCTGCTTATTTTAACCTTTATTCTATTTGGGGAAAATAAAGGAATTTTCCATTTACTGTCTCATGTAAAACCCCTGCATTCCTGGCACTGCAGTATCAATGTGATGTCAATTTGAGATGTTATGAGTAAAAGTATTGGGTCAGATATAAATAAATCTTAGGATGACAGCTTCCTCATCCCGGTAGTACTGTATTTCTTATTGATAAACAGCATTTTTAAAATAAACATGAGATTTTGATTGGTTGTATTAATATTTGCATTTTAATTACAGAGTTTCCGGTCTTATGCCAGTTAAAGTATATGTTATAAAATAATGACAAACATAATTCTAATCATATTGTATTTTATAAAGCTGTGCCTAGCCAAACAGAAATTTTATAGTCAGAATTTGAACACTATAAATGCAGCTAACTTAATCAAGAGACGATTCCTTTTTCCTACATCATTTGTGTTTTGGAATGTTCAGTTTTCTTTTAGTAATAGAGAACTTTCAGAAAATAAAGAATAAAGAAAAATATGTGTAATTCTATTACTTGAACAGAAAGAACAGTTAATTTTTGCTGTTCTAGTCTTTATTTTTTATATTAAAAAGAAAACAATGTTTGCGGCATCTTTTCCACCTAGCTTTTCACATTTTACTTTGGGATCTTTTTTCACTTCATAATATAGATACCAAATACTTAAATGTATGATGGTTTGACTTACAATTCTTAAACTGTAGTGTGTGCCAAAAACTAATCCTGACCTTTGTAGTTAGTGTCTATTAGCGTGTTAGATTTTTCTCAGTGTATTAAAACCTTTGACTGGTCTTCAGTCTTTCCTTTGTACTGCTTCCCCCAAAGAATTTTTTTCTTTGAAGGAGTCCTGAAGTATAGCCTCTTTCTGTGCTTTATCCTCTATGCTGGTGTATGCCACAGGGGAAGGAGAGGAGGAAGAAGAGCATTCGTCTATTATGACTCTTAGTGTAAGTCAAGTTCTGTGAGCCTAGCTATTGGGGGTATCAGTGTTACAGAGCTAGGCCTAATTTTCCTGACAGAGAGTGTATCAATCACCAAAATGTTTTCATGAGGCAACCAAGCATGAGGAGATAGGGATGTTCTGACTCAACTCTGCCTCACTAAGGGTGATAGGCCTTGTGTGTTCAAGAAGTAGGTATGTGTCTTGAGGAAAAACATGAATTGGAGATTGTCATTGGTTGATTGCTTGGATTTTTCAAGTGAAGCAATCCATAGTCTACGTATATATAGTTAAATGGCCTGCCTTTTCCTTAGACACACGTTCAAGAAATGGCTTTGTTAGCATGATCTGAAGGCAGAGTTTTCAGTGTTCTGGTGTCAAAAGGTCTCCCACTAGACATTTCCCTAGACCCAAGTGAAGGGGGAATAGTTTCACTCAGTTTGTAAGAGAAAGTGACCTCTTTGTTTTTAAACAACTATGAAGTATAAGTGTTCCATTTTCAAAGGTGGTTCCTGTAGCAGAGCTACTAGGAACATGTGTCCTAACTGGTTTAAAAACACAACTAAGTAAGCAAAGATAGAGGATTTGATGTACTTAGACCAGTTTTCTGGACATCTCAACTGTTGATGCCTTTCTTCAAAATGTAGTGCTGAGCCAACTGTCACATATGCATGCCATGAAGCCAAAATAAATTTCCCAGCTGCATGATGTTTGCATCAGTGCCTTCAGACTACAGTTTTTACACTCTACCAACTCTTTCTCTATAGACTGTTCTTTCTATTCTGTAAGAGAATTGGGGAAAGAATGCCTGAATGTCTTTTTAGCAGTGTTTGTCTTCCCCCAAAAAACAGCACATAAAAGCTTTCTCATTCTTCTTCCCATTGTCCCTGATGTAAGGGTCATAAAAGAAAGTGGACAAGAGAATACAGCCCTGTCTCTTTAATGTCTGCAGCTCCCGGGCCAGTTCAAGTTGGCCCACATACTACCATTAATATTTCCTTAAACATACTGTCATTTTCAGCTGTTTCCATGCTAGTAAGCAAATGCTTTGAATCTGTCCTCACAGGCACCCAGCTCTCCAGTTTTGCCTGTGAATTCTGTTCTCTAAAGTGCTTACAGAAACACTTACATAATGTCATGAATTTACAGCTATCTGCAGCTTCTTTTTTTTGCTATAAAATAGGAGCATGGCCTTTCTAGCTGTCTTGATCTCTTTGCACAGCCTTCTAATTTTTAACATTCATTTTCTACAAATTGACTATTAAGAGCTTTAAGGCACTCTTTGTACTCTTTATGCTAAAATACATATCAGAAAAATTGATGATGTCCTTAGATGTTTCTGCCTATTAACTGGGTCTTAAACCCTGTCTCCTGATGCCACTTCCTAATTTTGCTATTTGTATTCTACCCCTCAATTCCATGTGTAATCGTTTAATGACAAAAGTATCTTCATTCACAGAGGATTAATTTAGCCTCTTAATTCATCTATTTAGTTTCATATGGAATTGAATTTCTAGTGAAAGTTTTAGTACAAGCTTAGCCAGAGGCAGAGATTTTAAAATAAACATTTTTACCCAGGTACAGCAGGTAAAAACATGGCTCTTGAAGAGGGCAGGGTTCAGTTTCCAGTATCTACATAGCAGCTTACAACTGCCTGTACATCCTGTTCCAGGGGAACCAACATGTTCTTCTGGCCTCTGCAGGCACATGGTGCACATAAACACACTCAGGCAAAATACACATGCATATAAATAAATTGATCATTTTTTAAAGAAAGAAAGTGCTGTTCTTCTCTCAGAAGTTTTTAATATTCATCAGTAGTACAGAATCATTTTCCTTGTCATAAATATTATTGTGAATGCAGTGTTTTCAAGCTTATTCAGGATATTGTCAAGTATGAGATTTTGGCATGTAATGAACTTGAAGGTGTCTATAGATATCTTAAGTAGCAAAGATAATTAAGTGATGTGGGCTATTTAACATTGGAATGGCTGAGGTGGGTGAGTGTATGTGTCTGTGTGTCTCCATCCTCCTTGCCTGCTTGTACTTTTAAGAGCTTTTCTCCCTGATTAGAAATCACTTTGCCTCCGTTTGTTAAATATGCCTTTTTAATGGTTCTTTTCTATTATGGAGATCCTGTTTTTTTTTTTTTTTTTTTTTTTTTTTTTTTTTTTTTTTTTAAAGGTATATCTAAATGAGAAAGCAGTTAGAAATTGAAATAATATAAAAGTACATAAAGAAAATTAGACTATAAAGACTGTATCACAAAAGTTATATTAATAATAAAACGCACTAAAAGTGGAAGCTGCAGAGTCATTCATGTAGACAAATGAGAGAATGTCTTTTGTCTGCAGAAGGCAGCAGTCCTACATGAACATGGAGGTCTCTCTCTGACTTAGGACAGCTGGCTAAGTCTGATCGTTCCCCTCCATACAACTTTCTAAACTACCACTATCAGTATTGTTTTCCTTACCATTTTATTCAATATCTCTGCTGTTGGGACCAAGAGTGTGCAAAAATGGGGACAGACCACCATAGTCTGTGAAGCCAGAAGCAAGCTTTACTCCAAAAACAAAATTAAAAGAAAATCACCCAGGGGCACAAAAGCTTACCACTTGGGACCACAGTCAGAGCTCAGACTTCTGAAACTGGCAATCAGTCAGGGTGGTTTCTGAGCTTCTCTTTTATAGTAAGAAATGAGCATGAGGCATGGACAAAAGAATTTTTACAATCTCTAGGTAAAGCTTAGATACAAATTGCTGTTTACAATTCCCACTGACAAGGTTTGTGGCTAAATTAGTGTTTGTATTAGTCTGCTGCTGCTTCCTTGCATTTCTAATGGTGTTCACAGAAATTCTGCACTTTCCTGGTACTGCCAGTTTCCAATAGCTGAGAATACTGAACAATGCAAAACCAAAATTCACTTACAAACTGTTATTAAAAGTTAACTTAGTTCATTGTGATTGTGGGTAGGGTGGGAGTGTGTGAAACTAACCTTTGGTCGTAGACAGAGCTGTCAGTCAAAGAAATGCACTGTTAAAAGTTAATCCCTGTTTGCTGACAGGGCTGGTGACTGTCAGCTCCCATTTCCTTTAGGCTTACAAATTTGTATTTCTATATTCCTATTTTTGGAACCTACATTTGTATGTTCTATTTCTGGACCCTTCAGCTGATTGAGTGTACTAGATTATAGAGGCAAACAAAAAAGACAACCAAGTAAATTTAGTTCAACCATTTTGGAGCACTTTATGAAATTTGTTTGGACATTGCCCCCCCCCCCCGCCTTTAATTCTCTTTGAAACAAGGTCTCTTGTCACTCACCCTAGCCTTGAACTCCTGCCTCTATTACTCAAGTACAGGGATTACAGGTTAGTTGATGGTTTTTGAAAATAGATGTTACAGTTGGCTTATTTATTTGAAGAACCTACAAATCGGATGTACAATGTATGTGGAATTGCTATTTTTCTAGGGGTTGGGTTGGATTAATTAATCCAAAGTTATCAGTTAATCAACATTTTATATGCAAAGGAGGTATTGAAAGTAGCATTCATGAATTTCTTTTTATTAAAAATTGGTTTCTTGCTACACATGATGAATCAGTAATCCAAGCATTTGAGAAGCCAAGGCAGAATTGCCATTAGTCCAAGGCCAGCCTGGCTGGGCTAGAGTGAATCCCTGTGTTGAATAAAAAAAAAAGCAAAATATAGTTTTGTACTTTTTGAGTCTATAAACTGACAATTTCCAAAGAAAGTTGTTTCTTAGTCCTGATTTTGAAGTCTTGGTTGTTTGATTCTGTTTTGGGGAGAAGGGCAGGAGGAAAAGATCCCAGTAGAAATTGAGTGGCCCATAGCATCGGAGTGTTCTGTGAGCAACCCCAGCTGGTCTTATTTGTAATTAATTGTGGAAAGATCCTTGTTTGTGGTTCTGAACTTCCCATATTTGTTTCTTTGAGCAAAGTTTGCATGAGGCATTTGTTGAAACAGTTTGCTGATTTTTCTAAGCCCATTAGGAATCCATAGTCTGACAGGGATGTCCTTCTGAATGCTGTGAATATATGTTTCCATTATTGGTTGATGAATAAATGCTGATTGGCCAGTAGCCAGATAGGAAGAATAGACAGGGCTACCAGACTAGTAGAATTCTGGGAAGGGAGGAGCTGTCAGATGCCATGTAGCTGCCAAAGGAGTAACATGCTGGAGCATTACGGGTAAGCCACAGCCTTGTGGCAATACATAGTTTAATAGAAATGGGTTAATAATTAAGAGACAACTAGCCAGTAAGAAGCCTGAGCCATTGGTCAAAACAATTTATATAAGCCTCTGTGTATTTATTTGGGACTAAACAGCTTCAGGACTGGGCAGAAGAGAAACTCCATCTTCAAGAGTCTAGTTTGTTCTTCATTTCAGTGAGCAGTATTGAAGTTTTCTAGTCAATTTATTTTCCTCGAGTTTTTTTAGCATAATAAATTCTGATCTAGATCCAAAATCCTTTTTTATAGTGACCTGATTAAATCAGTGACAAATATTATATAGGTAAAAGTCAAAGAAAAAGGCATATGGTTTGTAACCAACTATCTTAATTTATGTTTACAAAAATATATCAGAGATATGATTCAAACAAGACCAAGACATTTATTTTTCCTTTGTTATTTAAATCCTTTAGAGTGCCCTTTTGGGGGTATCTCCTTGCTGCTTGTCATCAGTTTATGTTTGTGTGTAACTGGATATCTTTACACTTTTTGACATGATATATGCCTGTCTTGATTTTCTCATCCACAAACTTCTCTAAAAGCTATTAGATAAAATCTGTCTAACCAGATGGATAATTATAAAAACCAACCAATCTTCACGTTAATAATAATTCTGTACATTGTGCCAATATCATTAATTACACAACCTGTCTATATTGTTATCCTTTAAGATTGGATGTAACTACTTTGGTGGCCAAGGAATAACAACATGCTAAACCTGGAGATAATAATGTGTAATATGTAGGTTTTTTTAATATTAAATTGGGAACGTGTCTTTTAAACTTTTTACTGTTCACCACTGAGGACAGCTTATTAGTAACACTCTTATTTTGAACATAAGGACCTTTGAGGACCCAAAGGTTAAATCTTAAAGGGGTAAATGGAGGACAGGAAGGAAAGGAGAGAGAATCTGTTGATTCCAGTTAAGGTAGGTTCCTGCTTTTGGATAGATCTTTCTTTCTCTGAGAGTTTATGTTTATATTCATCTGACTGCATACATAAGTTTACCTAGCAAACACAAGGCCCTGAGTTCAATTCCCAGGACAGAGGCAGGGAAATGTACTAAAATAAGTCATGCAAGTTTTGGCAATTTTGAACTGATTGAATATGTTTTTGAAAAAGAAGTTTTTTTTTTCAGAATGTTAAAACATCTTAGAAGTCCTATAAAAATATAAAATATTCCTAGACCAACCTCTGTGTGTTAAATGACAATTTTCCCAGTGACAACCACTCATACCAGTTTTTAATGCTGATTTCCATACATATTTAATAGAGATATATATCAGTGGCTAATCTATTCCTGTTGTTTTATGTATTTATTTACAACTGCATTAGAATAACCTCAAGATTTGAGGTCCAGATTCATACATAATTTTCATCTAAGTAATTTCTACATTTTCTTATATCTTCCAATAAAGTTACTAAAAATATCTAGCACTTATAATGACATTTATGTACAGAAAAAGATGTCTTATCTTAGAATGATTATTTTAAAAAAAGAAAGAAAAAACAAGATGGAGAGGTGATTGAGCAGGTAAGAATACTGGCTGCTCTTTAGATGACGCAGCTTTGATTCCCAGCACTTACATGGTGATTTCCAAACATCTGTTAACTTCAGTTCTAGGACATTCAGTGCCTTTTTCAGCCCTCCTTGGGCACTGCACGCAATGGTGCACAGACAAACAGGCCAAGAAACTATACAGAGAAAAGAAAAAGAAAAATTATCACTATTAATTATCTTCATTGCTGATTCAGAGAAGTCTCAGTTGAGCTAAAGAGATGACTCACTAAGTGAAGTGTTTTCTACACAAGCATGAGTAACCAAGTTTGGCACATAGTTAGAGGTACTCTTTGTATCACACACACAGCTTTTGTTTCAGCATTTTAACTGTTTTCTGAAGCAGATATAGAAATTCTGCCTACTCTGATCTTTCTAAATTGAGATCAGTGAAAGAGATAATCCCATTTGCTTCCTGGTCCTTTCACTTCAAATACTCTCTCAGTGTGAGATCATAGATACTGTATTAAAATCCCAGTGTGTAATCACCCAAAGAAAATATCTGAACTAATTCTCAGTCAGTCTTCATTCTCTGTCTTACCATTGCAAGAAAAACACCCAACTAGCAAAAGATTATCAGTGCCCTTCTCACATCTCCTTCCTCTAGATACAAGTATGATCTTGGATGCTATCTCCATTGATGGCATTGAAGGCTATTCTAATCCCTCTGAAAATTCTGTGACAATAGAACAAATTATTTATTTGCTCATATAAAAGTAGTAACAAAGCCGGGCAGTGGTGGCATATGCCTTTAATCCCAGCACTTGGGAGGCAGAGGCAGGTGGATCTCTGTGAATTCAGGGCTAGCCTGATCTACAGAGCTAGTTCCAGGACAGACTCCAAAGCTACACAGAGAAACCCTATCTTTAAAAACAAAACAAAACAAAAAAAGGTAGTAACAAAATGAGTAGTTTTCAGACCTAAAAATAAGAGAAAATTTAAAAAAGAAATACATATTTGTAAGACACAAATTCCTTATGTCATTTCAAGAAAACTAAAGTTTATCACTCAGAGACTGTCTTGGCCTCCTAGCTGGCACCCACATTCAGAGGGCTTGGTTCGGTCCAATGCTGTTTCCCCAGTTTTATGACTAGGGTCTCCATGCTCTCAGTAGGTAGGACAACTGTTTCTGCTATTGCAGCAAGGAGGGCCTAGGCCCTCCCCCAAATGATATTATGGTCTTTGTAGGTCCCCCGTGGAGAGCCACACTATCCCTGGGGAGAAGTTGAGGGAGGGGGTGGTGGGGTTGGTGGGGAACATGGGAGGATGGGGGGGGGATGGATATGTAAATATGAATAGTAATTAAAGAATTTAAATAAAAAAAAAGAAAACCTGTACTCCACAAAATTGGAAAATTTAAAGGAAATGGAAAATTTTCTGGATAGATACCACTTACCAAAATTAAATCAAGAACAGATAAGCAATAAACAATTTAAATAGGCTTATAACCCCTAACAAAATAGAAGCAGTATTTTAAAAAGTCCAGCTTTCAGCACAGAATTCTACCAGAAATTCAAAGAAGAGCTAATACCAATACTCTTCAAATTTTCCACACAATAGAAACAGAAGGATCATTGCCAAACTCTTTTTAAGTACTCTTTTTAATTACCTTGTTACCCAAACCACACAAAGACACAACTAAGAATGAGAACTACAGACCAGTGTCCCTCATGAACATTGATGCAAAAATACTCAATAAAATACTGGCAAATTCAACAAAAAAAAAAGTTTTGTGACATTCTTACACAGATTAAGTTTATTTCTACTTATACTTTGGTCATGAAGCCTTAAGTAAAGGATAATCAGGTAGATCCCAGTCTTCATTAAAGCATGGCCATTTTATCTGTTTTCTCATAACTGTCATTTAGATTTTGTCTATTAGCTATATGGTTTGTATTAGAGTCTTAAGTGTGTTCACCTCTTAGCTGTCTGTCCTTGTGAACAAGACTTCCATGCATCTCTGCGTTCCAGAGCTCCATGCTCTCTGGAGATCTGTCTGACCCCTGAAATTGTTTTTCTTCCTACCCTTTTCTGCTTCCCAAACAAAATGCCTCCCCATAGCTTAAAACATGAAAGTACTTTGTGACATAAATTCTCACTGAGGCTATTATTATAAGACTGTTACTAATACACAGGTTGACAAGTGAACTGTTTTACTGGAAGAAAATGAAATGAGCTTTCCTTCTGTAAAATGAATATTCCTATGTCCTTAATTTCCTGGTGTAGATATCTATCAATGGATATTTGTACTATATTGACATGTCAGTTCTTTGTATTTTATGGTAAAGACTCAATAATAGAGACTGTTCTAGAAAAACAAGATTCTTACTTTTTCTCAGGTTACCTTTACATATGCTAAAAGCACTTTAATTCCCTTGCTGTCTTAGGGTGAAATAGAAGAAGGGTGAAGAAGAAATTATTCTCTTCAACTGCCCTCCAGAAATTCCTCCTCTGTTTCTAAAGCTCTTGGTTTTGTTTTGTTTTGTTTTTCCCCCTAGGAGTCCAATGTGCTGATTGCTGCTAACAGCCAGGGTACAATTAAGGTAAGCCATTTTATACATCCCCATTTTAAACTCAGATCCATTTTTTAAACTGCAGCAGGCTTTTGGAAATTGGAGCCTTCATGATCATTTCAAATTAGGGATCTCAGTCCTCAGAAATGACTTAATTGACATTGAAAGAAATAGGTAGCTTGCAGTTATGGAGACGATCATGGTTGTTTGGAGCTGAGGGCTGGATGGGTTGATAAATGGTCAGATTGGACCAGCATTCAGTAGACAGTCAATCTGTGGCAGGCCATGAGTGCTTATGTATTTGCTGCCTTCACATCTACTTTGTTCTTCCTCATGTTTCTGTTTCTTCTCTTTGATAAACAAAGTTTTTTATCCCTCCATTCTAAGGTTGTAGTCAGGATAGAGAAGAAATTTTAGTGTTCTGTAATCTGAAAATCTATGTGAACCCGAGAGCATAGTCTGAGTCACAGACTTACAGTTTACCGAGTGCTTTCATTTTTAGTTAATGGCTCAAGGAAATCAAACTTTCAGTAATAATAACTTAGCATTTAGCCCTTGGGCATAATTTTTTTCTTATGTAAATAATTGCTGAGTTAAGCAGTGGACTTTTTCTAAACAAGACCTTGTTTAGATGGAGGTTTTTAAGTACGTGTGTTTGGCTCACAAGTACTGTTGAGAGAACATCCTCCTTCTATATAATCTTCTGGAAATTTCAGAAAGCATTTTTTTATGATTTCTCCATATTGGCAGTTATTTTGCCACAACTTCCTTTAATTCATAAAAGTACAGTTGCCTGAAGCATCAAAGGAGAAAATCCAAACTAAGTACATCCCGTGGAGATGAAACAAACTCAAAGCAGAATTACATCAGTACCTAGCCAGGCTGATTCATATGACAGTTGCCTTTTTCAGGTAGGTAGTAAGTTTGTATTAATTTTCTAAAGAGGGACCACAACTTTAATGAAAACTAGGCCTTTGCACTGATCAACATTAGTTCTTTTCTGGAGGCCTCAAGCAAGATGTTAAGTCTTGGAATTTGATTGAAGTAGCTAGTCTCTCAGTTTCACATTCTCTTGACAAGGTGAAAGACACCCCCCCCCCCCCCCCCGGAGGCTCAGGTCCCCGGGATCTCAGCCCAGAATCTCGGTGACCCCAGTCACTAGGTGAAGTCAAAAGCTTGAAGCAAACAGCAAGAGGCTTTATTGCAGTTTTTTTAACAAGGTAACCCCATTAGCTCGGGCCTTTCATCCATCCACCATGCTGGATGGCTGAGAAAAGACTCCGAGAAGCCACAGAACAGAGATCTTATAGGGCAGCCTAAAGAAGTGTCTAGGGAAACGCACAGGCTCAGGATTGGTGTGCCTCCAGGCTTGGAGGACTTGCCCTTTGTTGATTGGTCAACTGGTTGTTATCGCCCATAGGCTCTCCCATGGAGGTTGTTATGCTCTGCATGTCATTGCTGTGCACCTGTCCGTAAAGCACACCCAGAGCTGTAAGGCATAGCACCATCAGCTACCTTCTGATTGGTTCCTTGCCACGAGGCAGGCATCTGATCTCCTAGTGACCAAGGCAAGGTCAGGCAAGCATGCATTAGCTGTTATGGCTGCCAAAATGGGGAGCTGGTCCCTTCAAAGGCATGGATTGAAAATGGAACACCTTAATCAACAGCCCAGACATTTGGACCAAATAGAAATATCAACATCCCTATAGTAACCCCAAGGCTGCAGTGGGAATCCCATAGACTATGAGAACCAAACAAGACTTTTCAGCATTGGCCTGTCATGTCTAGAGGACCCTACCTAGTGTACTACAGTGTACATACAAAAAGCATTGTGAAGTTCAGGCAGAAAGTGAAGGGTTACATCTTTCTGGCCTTTATCACCTAAAATTAAAGTGTCCATGGAACAGTCCTTGACAGTCTCACAGCCACCTTCTTGTTCTCTGTCCTTTCTTAGCCATTTCCTTCCTTGTTTCCTGAAGCTTAATTTTAACACTATCACAGCTTACTTTTATGGCATGACAATAACTTAACACTAAAATTCTAGCCAAGTATTTTGATACCAGATGGTTAGCTTTGAAGTTGAAAGAAACAACAACATTGGTATTCTCTAAAATCTTGATCACTAGTGTTGCCTTAGTGTTGTCAACCTAGTACTTATTAAAAGAAAGATATTAAAATCCTTAACAATAATTTTTTCTTTAAGAATGTTTTAAGATACCATCAGACACTCCAAAGATATACTGCGCATGCTTCACCTCAGTCCATTTGTATCTTATCCATCAGTTTCTTACCCGAAAGGCTCCCTAATTGATACAATAACTAATTTAAAATTTTTCATACAGTGCTTGAATTGAAAGAAGGAATGAGCATCTGGTTCCTTCAGTTCTTTGGCATTATACCAGTTAGTAGGTATTTTTATTTGGTTTTTCCAGTAGTGCATACAGTAAAGTGTCATTAAACTCTTTATGTTTTAAAACTGCTCTTAAAACTCTTCTTGTTTTTCGCCCATTAGGTGCTAGAATTGGTGTAAAGGGTTTCCTGAAGTCAAATCGTGTTTGCTCCTCCTGAAAACCACCTAGAGCTGATGAGAAAAGAAAGGAAATGGCAAGTGATGTCTTTCCAGAGTCATCCTGGGTTTTGGATTTGTTCTGAGTACCTTTTCCTCCTTTTATGCCATTGGGACATTGGGAATACCCAGAGAATTCTCCGCCATCAGTGTATCTATGAACTTTGCTGTTGGCTGTGTGGCTAATTTTTGTGATAGGGAAACAAATTCTTTTAAATAAAAATAAATAAAAAATAATAAAAGTTTATTGAGCCACAACTGAGCTGGGAATGCCTTTGTCAGGCGTGGTGAGAGTCTTTTGAAGAAGTAGCACATGTGGGCTTTAGAGAATGTTCTGGCTGGGTTATGAAAGAGGCTCAGTGAACAAGAGCACTGGCTGCTCCTACAAAGGATCAGTTTCCAGCACCTTGCAGCTACCTGTAACTCCAGTGGGAGATCTGACGTCCTCTTCTTGCCTCCTGGAGCACCAGGTATGCATGTGGTACACACACATCTGGGCAAAACATTCACACATTAAAATGAAAATAAATCTTATAATGAAAGAAAAAAATGTACTGGTAATTTTAAAGTTGTTTTTTTCCCCAACCCCTTCGGAATTGCACATATCATCATGAACAAAAGATAAAATATATGGATTCCTTCTAGTGAACTTAATGTTTGCATTTAAAAAAGACTAAGAATTCCTTTCTATACACCCTGATGAGATTATCTTCATCAGATCTTTTGGGTCCCTTCATATCTTGTCAGAGATCTAAGATTTTGATTTACTGAGATCTAATAAGAAGGGAAGTCCTTATAACTGCTAGTTCTTTTTGTCACCAGTAAGCCTAAGATAAAGCCAAGTCAGCTTTTGTTTTAACTAGACATGTTAGATTATACTGACCAAGACTGATCAGTGACTTGGAGAAAGGTCAGCTGATCTTTTCTGTAAAGGGACAGACAGGAAATACTTTCAGCTTTGCTGGGCATGTGGTCTCTGTTATAAATACTGAGCTCCACCAGTGCATCAGGAAAGTAGCCACAGATGTGTGGACAAATGAGCATGGCTGGAAAATAGGTGGGGTTCCAGTGTCTGTCTGAAGCTAATTATCTGCAAGCCCCTGACTTAGAATTAAACTTTTATACTCTGGTACCCCAGATTCCAAGCCATGTGACCTCTTACATTGTCTAGTTAGTTTGTAAATCATTTTCACATCTCAGAGCATTGGGTCAAGCAAAAGTAACATGGAGAACTATTTAAAGTCTGGATACTTTTCAGCAAAAATGGTTCAAGCAAATTTGTCCACACATTTCATAAAACACTTATAGAAAGGCTTGTTGGATATAAATGTGCATGAAGAATACACTATCCCAATAGATCCCTCAGCTAAAGGTTACTGAGACCTAAGCAAGCTTACATTTTTTTCTCTGAAATTACAGAAGTCAAGTGCCTCTTAGAATTAGAATCTTTTGAGTATCAGAAAATTCGCAGGACACATGTAATTACATTACACAGCAACACCAACAGAACTAAAGCAGTATTCCATGGTCCACCACAGTTCCGCAGCAAAGCATGCACGTTCACATTATACAAGATTGGTTAGTAAAGAGGAAAAAGAATCTTACAGTAGTTTAGGCAAGGCTTTATCTTCAAATGACTTTTCCTCAAACAGGTGAAATTTACTAGTTTTCACAGCTTTGAGAGAATTACATCTTACATGATTTCTAAAATTTAAAACCTGCTAAATGTTTAATTCCACCTTTGATAGAAAAGGCTTCTGCTGTCTGGGGGCTAGAGAGATGGCTCAGTAGCCTAGAGCAGTATTCTTGTAGAAGACTCAAATTTGATTCCAAGAAACCACAGGTCAGCTCACAACTGCTAATTACCCCAGTTCCAGGGAATATGACATGGTGCACAGACATACATGCTAGTGAAACACCCATACACGCGAATAAGTCTTTAAAAATTCAAGTTACCATCTGCCACCAATAAATGTTAAGATTAATGAATGGCAGTTTGTGAAAATGTAGGGAGAATGTTTTAATAGAGATCTTGTACTAGTGCTACATGTCCTGAAAGTCTTTACAATAGGAAGTAGTTAATGCCACCTTGAATTCCTTTAAATGAAAGTGATGCTTTTGTTGTCCATTTGTATTGTTTTTACATGCCCACATTTTTAATTGTTTACCTCAAGCTCTATATAATACAGTTAGTCATGTTCATTTCCATGTTTAGAGGATACAGTATCCCATTTGGTTATCAAAAGGACTTGCTTTTTTTTTTTTTAATTACTTTAAGGTAGTGCTTCCTTTTTCTTTTTTTCCTAAAGATAAGTTACGATGTAGCCTAGACCAAACAATTCCACTGGGTAGTAACCTTGAGTTTCTGATCATCCCACCTCCCCTCTGGGTGCTGGGATATAATCATACGCCATCCCTCCTAGGGATGCTGGGGAATAAAATCTAGGGCTTTATTCATTTATCAATTCCACTACATCTCTAGCCCCTTCATTTATATTTTTCTTTTTCTTGAAAATCATAAAGCTTTCTAAATTTGAGTTCACTTCTGTAGGACATCAAGATCAAAATAATAATTCCGTGTAAAAATACAATACTTAAAGTATGATTAGAGAACATATTTTTTAAAAATCTTAAGAATAAATTGCCAAGATATGTTTAACTTTATTATTTATTTCAGAGGTTTTCCACAAAGCTTGTCTTTATTCCCAAGCATACATTTCTGTGCATAAGTTCATGCACAGGAAACATTAAGATTTTAATTATTTTATAAAGTCTTGTTAAAAGATTGGCTTACTAGTATCAAAAATATTAAATGACTGATGCCAAATATGGTAGCACACTCCTGTCATCTTAGCATTTGGGAGGTGGAGGCAGGAAGGTTAGGAATTCAAGATCATCCTTAGCATCATAGCAAATTCCAGGCCAGCCTGGACTACCTGAAATGAAGTCCTATCTCAAGAAACTGGGTGGAGAAAATTATGGGACTCAGCTACAACTTTTAGAAAGATTTGTCTTTCTGGACTGTTACTAAGCAAGGAAGAGAGAATACAGGATGAGTTTGAACAGAGTTGCCCAACATAGTGGCTTTTTTAGGAAGTGTTTGAGTTTTTTTATTTTGTTATAAAGCAGATAATAAAAATGGTGTGACCAGCCTAGGCCTGGCCCAGGATGATATGGTAAACTTTGGGGAGCCCCTTTTGAGGGTCTTATCCTGCCTGGGGAGTGGAGGTGACATGTGAAGCAAGCTTGTTCCTAATTTGAACTAATAAAAAAAAAATGGTGTGAACCAATTTATAGTGAATGAATCAGTGGAGGCAAAAAACTCAGGAATATAGTTGAAAGTTAACAGGAGCTTGGATTAGAGATAAAATTAGCTACCTCAAAATCAGCTATTGGAGTTCATCTTAACTAAAAGAACTTTCCCTAGTGAGTCTATTTCTTCAGGGGACTGACTGTGTTATACCAAGCCAGCAGTGAGTCACTTGGAAGCATCATGGTCACAATGCTCATGAACTTTTAGCTAAGCAAATCTAGAAGACATCTAGCCCTGGTTCTAAATATAAGGGTAATTGGCCATTACCCTTAATGTAATTATGCCGATGTAGCAGGGGTTGGATGCTTCCCCTAAGCTTGCTGTGTTACTTGGCTTGTAGTAGCAGTGTCTTGCACTTCCTCACAAAACAGTTTGCTTGACAGCATTTATGCAACTTATATTGGATGTTATATAATTGTGGACTCATTTCCAGAGATACCTGTTGAGCTTCTGTTTTCCGTGAAAACTGCCCTATGTTCCAGGATAATTATAAATATCTTTGTGTAGCATATTGTCCAATGAGAGAGACAGATAGTTACTCAGGCAGAAAATATGACAGAAATGAGCTTTGTATGTTCATTGGGAAAACATACAACCTAACATGGTAGGATATGAAGGGTTGAGGAGAGGTAGTTGTCAGGAATTTTTATCTTGAGATAAAAATCCCAGCTGAATTTTAAAAAGCAAGTAAACGTCATAAGAATTTAAGGGCAATGAATTTTATGAAAATGTAACTCTCTGGGCCAAAACTGGAACAAGTGAACAACAGAGTAAACATTGAGATGCAATCAGATGTATAGAATAAATGAAGTCATAATAATAGAAGAGGCAGGATTCCACTTTGTTAATATACTCCCTCAAGATACCGTTTGAGGCACACCTCTACTTTTAAGTATGATTTCCTCCCCAGAAGTATATTGTGGTTAAGGGGATAAAAGTTACTACAATGGAGACTCTCACAGGACTACTTTAATCATCTAATCGAGTCCAATATCAAAGATATCTTGTTGATAGTATATGCTGTTGAAAGGATGTAAATGAAATGGTGCTTTTACTCTGTAGTCATAGTGTGAATGAGAAAGACATCAGATAAACCCTTCTTGAGTCATATCTTACTAAATAACTGACAGGCATTCTCAAACTGTCAGAACCATCAAAAGCAGAGCCAGAGAAACTGTCACATCTACAAGGTGAATAAAGAGACTGAGTAAATGTTCTATACTGTTCTGGATAGTATTCTGAAACTGAAAGGAACATTACATAAAAATACAGGAAAATTCAAATTTGTAACAGGTCTTCCTGTGGGTTGTTAACTCTCAAATAATGACACAGAAAATTATTAATTATAAAAGTTTGGCCTTAGCCTAGTCTTGTTACCAACTAGCTCTTAAAACTTAAATTAACCTGTTTGTATCATACATTCTGTTATGTAGCTTGTTACCTCTCCTCAGTACCATGTCAGCCTACTGCCATGACTGTCTGGTGAATCCCCTGCCTCTCAGATTCTTCTCAGAGTTCCTGTCTCTGCCCAGAAGTCCCACCTAGCCTCTCCTGTCTAGATGTTGGTCATTTAATTCTTTATTAAACCCATCAGAAGGTGCCTTACATACGAGGGTAAGGTAAAACAATAACACATCTTCACACAGTGTCATCAAATATCCCACAACACAAATCAAGTATGGACTTTATTTGGTATAAATAGTTCTATACTGGTGTACTGAGTTATAACAAATTGCCAAGATAATATGAGATGTAAATAGGCTATACTGGATATGTGATATAAAGGGTTCTAGTATCTTGCCACATTAAACTTGATTTTTTGAGGTTTTTTTTAAATCAATGTTTAGAGTTTTAGGTTGGGGGATTGGCCTGTTAGGAAAAAAAAAATACGATTACCTCACAACTGTGAGAACCAATAGAGACTTCCTGCTGAAGCTTGGTAGGCAGTG